ATCCTTCATAGAGAATTGACGGCCCAAGTCAGAGATAAGGGTGGTGATGCGTGAAGGATCGGAGCCAGTGACAAGAATATCGTCCACATAAATCAACAAATAAATGTGAATGGAGCCTTGAGTGTACACAAAGAGAGACGAATCTGACTGAGAAGCAATAAAACCCAAGTGAAGCAGGTGAGAAGAGAAACAATGGAACCAAGCACGAGGGGCTTGCTTAAGACCATAAAGGGAGCGGCGTAAGCGGCAGACATGATCAGGATATGTGGGATCCACAAAGCCAACAGGCTAGCGCATATAAACCTCCTCATCAAGGGAGCCTTGTAAAAAGGCATTCTGAACATCCAACTGACGAACAGGCCAACTAAACTGCACAGAAAGAGCCAAGATAAGACGAATAGTAGAATGATTAACAACAGGACTAAAGGTTTCACCATAGTCGAGGCCCGGTTGCTGATGAAAACCATTTGCCACCAAGCGAGCTTTATAACGTTGAATAGTGCCATCAGAATTCCGCTTGACCCGAAAGACCCACTTGTTTGGCAAGACATTCATAGTGGGAGTACGAGGAACCAAAGTCCAAGTCCCAGCACGAAGAAGAGCATTAAACTCATCTGCCATGGCAAGACGCCATTCCTGAAGCTTATTAGCCTGTGAGAAAGATGTAGGCTCAAAAGAATCATCAGGAGAAACCAACGCATGATGCGCATATTTAGGATTAGGTTTACGGACACCAGCTTTAGCACGAGTAGCCATTAAATGAGTATTGGGTACACTTACCATAGAAGTATCTGAAGAAGGAGAAGATGTACCAGATGGAACAGGAATAGTGGACGGAAAAGCAATTTTACGGTGTGGGTCTCTAGAATATGTTTGTGAGAAACGAGAAGGAGGAAGTGCAGGCCGGATGACTGGTGGGCTAGCAGAGCGGGGAGGAGAAGGCAGACCTATGGGGATATGGGACGACATAGATGGTGAGCTCGGAGGAGGAGCGGACACGACAGGGGGTGGTGCAGGGTCGGACGTAGGCGGGTCAGGGGAAGCAATCGGGGTAGCGGTTGGAGCTGGGAGAGACGGTTGGGCCTGGAGCGTCGGAGGAATGAGGCAAGAGGAGACAGAGCTGCAGGATGGAAAAATAGAGCCAGGGAGAACTAGAGGCAGGTCAGTGGACGACGGAGAACTGTCCGGAGCAGGAGTAGCAGAGGCCTTGTGAAAAGGAAAAGAAAGTTCATCAAACAATACATGACGAGATAAAAAGACACGATGTGAAGAAATATCTAAACAACGATAACCTTGATGATTTAAAGAATAACCTAAAAACACACACTTAGAAGATCGAAACTGCAATTTATTAGAATTATACGGACGTAAGTAAGGAAAACAAGCACACCCAAAAGTTTTGAGAAAGGAATAATTGGGGACTTTGTGAAATAAGATTTCATAAGGTGATTTATGATAAAGTAATTTAGAAGGGAGACGATTAATGAGATAGACAGCGGTATGCATAGCCTCAGCCCAATAGGAAGGGGGCATAGAGGCATGGGCCAAAAGCGTGAGGCCAGTATCGACAATATGACGGTGCTTGCGTTCAGCTAAGCCATTTTGCTCAGGGTGATGAGGACAAGAGAGACGATGATGAATGCCATGATGAGATAAGAAATCCTTAAATAAATTATTAGTGTATTCCCCACCCCCATCTGTTTGGAAAGCCTTAATTTTAGTAGAGAACATATTTTCGACCAATGCCTTGAATTTAACAAAATGAGAGAAGACCTCAGATTTTAACTTCATTGGGTAAATCCAAGAGTAACGGGAAAAATCATCAACAAAGAGAACATAATAAGAAAAACCAGAAATTGATTTATTTGAAGAACTCCACACATCAGAGTGAATAAGTTCAAGCGGTGCAGTAGAAACAGAAATAGACGGACTAAAGGGTAACTTAACACTTTTACCCAACGGACAGGACTGACAAAAAAAGGAACTAGACTGAGAGCCAGAAAGCGGTAATTTATTATGAGAAAACAAAAATTGTAAAGTAGATGAAGCAGGATGACCAAGACGAGAGTGCCAGACAGAGCGACCGACACGAACACCTAGCAAAGCAACACGATCAGGCAAATTGTGAAATGACTCATTTGGGGAGAAGGAAAACGGATATAGGCCATTGCTACTCTTGCCCCGGAAAAGAATCTTCCCCGTCGCCAAATCCTGGATAAAATAGCAATCAGGATATAGAAACAGAAATAGACGGACTAAAGGGTAACTTAACACTTTTACCCAACGGACAGGACTGACAAAAAAAGGAACTAGACTGAGAGCCAGAAAGCGGTAATTTATTATGAGAAAACAAAAATTGTAAAGTAGATGAAGCAGGATGACCAAGACGAGAGTGCCAGACAGAGCGACCGACACGAACACCTAGCAAAGCAACACGATCAGGCAAATTGTGAAATGACTCATTTGGGGAGAAGGAAAACGGATATAGGCCATTGCTACTCTTGCCCCGGAAAAGAATCTTCCCCGTCGCCAAATCCTGGATAAAATAGCAATCAGGATAAAAGGTGAAGAAACAATTGTTGTCAGTAGCAAATTTATGAACAGATAAAAGGGGAAGAGAGGCATCAGGACAATGAAGAATATTATTAAGAGAAAAGGAAGAGTTAAGGTGAGAGATACGAGAGTGACCAATATGAGTAATAGGCAAACCTGTTCCACCAAGCACACCTCCAACATTGTCGGAACCATGATACTCTCTAGCAAGGGAAAGATGGCTTAAGTCATTGGTGATGTGGGTATTAGCCCCAGTATCAGCAACCCATTGTTGTGCGCCACCATGGGACAGATGGTGAGCAGTCATACCTTGAAGACGAGTAGGAGGAGGAGGCACAGAAGTAGCCTTGGAAGGACAAACAGCAGCAACATGTCCAAAGCCACGACAATTGTAACATTGCAAAGGCCCACAAGAAGAAGAATTGGCCCCAAAAGATGAGTGAGGAGAGCCCAAAGGAGGAGGCCCAAGAACACCTTGACCAGAATTTTGGTGACGATGCGGCTGTGAAGGAGAATATTGGGAGAAGCCGTAAGACCCAAAGTGTGGAGAAGAACCAAAACGCGGGGCAGAGAGCGAGGTGCGACGATCCGAAGCACGGCCAGCGTAGCCACCACGATCACCAAAACCGCGTCCACCACGGCCACCGCGACCACCGCGGGAAGCAACCATGGTTGTGGCACCGGAAGAGATAGCCGGAGAAGACGAAGCTTGAAGACGCCGTTCAGCCGATAAGAGAAGAGCTTCAAGGTCAGGCATGCCGATGGGTTTCTCACGAGCTTGAGCGGCAGCAACCGTATTCTCATAAAGCGGACCAACATTATTCATAACCACAGCTAGAAGATCAGAGTCATGAACCGGAGCACCTGCCAACGCCAAGTTATCTGTAATAGAGTGAATACGATCCAAAAAATCAGTGATGGAAGAATCACCACGGGTCGTGCGAAGCAAATCGCTACGAAGCTGAAGAAGACGATTTTGATTCGGAGAAGCAAAGCGGGTTTCAAGCGCCACCCAAGTGTCACGTGCGGTGGTTTTGGTAGCAACAATAGCAAGAACTTTATGATGAAGAGAACCATTGATGAGAGAGAGAACAAGTTGATCTTTCTGAACCCAATCCTCATAGTCAGGATTGGAGATGAGAGACGGAGGAGAAGACTCACTTTCCTTGGCCTTGGGGTCTGGAATGGTGGGAGAGGGACTCGGGCAGCTACCGTCGACATAGGAGAGCAAGCGGCGGCTGCGAAGAACGGGAACAATTTGAGCAAGCCAGGTCGGGTAGTTATCACGTTCGAGACGAACAGAGATAACGTGACTGATGCTAGGAAGGTCAAGAGCAGAGGAGGAAGCCATGAGATCGAGAAAAGAGAAGAGGAGAAAAAAAAATAGACGATGGATCGAAGACGGTAAGTCTCAGGCTCTTGATACCATGAAAGGTTTTGAATCTCTTTTGATTGATTTTCATTGATAAACAGTATAGGGAATATATACACAGCCATTACTTGGTGATTACACAACATATCTCCTATTCTAGGTAAGGAATATACAGGAATAAATACATATAATTGGCAAGTAAATCATATCTCAATCAGATCAGCATTAACGTCCATTAGGCAGCAGCTATTCAGTAGGGCAGGAAATATTTGAAATGTTGAGGAAGTTAGGCGTCCTAATATTCAAAAATGTTCTCAAAGTCAGGGTTCCTGGCATCAGGTAACTTAGTACTTCTAATATTCCAATTGAAGAGAAGAACTAAGACATTTTTAGAGAGTTACATCTGTTCTCTCATTTTTAGTCTTTCATTCAATGTTGTAGTAAGCTCTTCAAAACCAGCGATGAGATCGAATCGGACAAACTTGAGAAAGGAATCAATGCCTCCATAATAGAGATGGTTAAGAAAAGAGAAAAGAAGACAATGACTGGAGAAAACGACAGCTTTGGGAGTGATTTTCTTGGATTACTTCTGAAGGCTAATCATGAAGCGAATGAGAACCAGAGGATTTTGGTGCAGGAGATAATTGATGAGTGCAAGACGTTTTACTTTGTCGGACAAGAAACCGCTAATACTTTGCTTGCTTGGACTGTCTTTCTTCTGACACTCCATACGGATTGGCAAGAGGAGGCAAGAAAGGAGGTGTTACAATTATTTGGCAAACAAACTCCAAATGTTGATGGCATTGGCAAACTGACAACAGTAAGAAACTTGTCTAGGTGGCAGAAATATGTTCTCAATAAAGTTTGAGATCCTGATTTGGTTATCCATTTTTCTTTTTGATGCAGATGAGTATGATCATCAATGAGTCTCTAAGGTTATATCCCCCTGGTGTTCACATTGTAAGGAGAGTCGAAAGGGAAGTTAGACTAGGAAAGCTGATTGTTCCTAGTAATCTTGAATTGGATGTCTCAATCCTAGCACTTCACCATGATCCTCAAATCTGGGGACAAGATGTGCAACTTTTCAAACCAGAGAGATTCTCGGAAGGGGTTGCCAAAGCAACCAACAATCATGTAGGTGCATTCATACCCTTTTCAATGGGACCTCAAATTTGTGTGGGCTTAAACTTTGCGACAACAAAAGTGAAGATTGCTTTGTCAATGATTCTACAACGTTATGCCTTCACCCTTTCCCCGGGTTATGTCCACTCGCCCTTACATCTTCTTACAGTTCGTCCGCAACATGGAATACAGGTAAGGCTACAACCACTTTGAACTGCGAAGATCAGATCAGTAGCCCATGATTCTTGTACTTGGTGCATAAAGTGGGCATAACCCATGTTTTGCCTATGAATGTTGCACTTTGAGACAAGACAGACAAGAGCTTACTTGTCAATTATCCTTTAAGTTTACAAAGCGATTGTTCTCTTTAGTTTTGTAGTATTTTGCTGAGTCCAAAGTTTTCCTGTTTGTTTTTGTTTTTTTGGGTAGAATGAAATCTTATGCTTACAGTTGTAATAAACATTTTCAGTTTTGTGGTCAAACGAATTTTGAAAAAATGGCAGAAAGAAAGCTTAAACACAACATGAAATTGGTAATTAATCCCAAAACCAAGATGAGAGTACTTTGATTAACATAGATAGGGACATTACAAAAAGATAGATGTAAGTTTGTGAAATCTGAATTATTATTCTTCTCACTGTTGGAGGAAAATATATACATATAGCAAGCTAACATTATAATAGGAAATATATATAAAGGAATTCTTAGTCTATAGGGATTGACAATTAATATAGTTGACTGGAGAGATATAAACAGTATATACATCAATTAGCTATAAATCAGGGATGCTATCTAACACTCCCCCGCAAATCCGACGATGTGGAAGAGACGAGATTTGAACGAAGGAGCTGGAAACGATGCGGAGAAAGGCCCTTGGTAAGGATGTCAGCGAGCTGATCAGAAGAGGAAACAAATTGAACTCGGTGAGAGCCAGAGATAATGCGCTCCCGAATGAAGTGGTAATCGAGTTCAATATGTTTAGTGCGAGCATGAAACACCGGATTGAAAGCCATATAGGTAGTGCTAAGATTGTCACAGAACAATAAGGTTGGTCCAGAAGGAGGAAGCGCCAACTCATGAAGGAGATGAGAGATCCACGTAGTTTCTGCACAAACATGAGCTAGAGAGCGATATTCAGCCTCAGCAGAGGAGCGAGAAACTGTCAATTGTTTCTTAGCACACCAAGAAATAAGGTTGGAACCAAGAAACACACAAAAACCAGTGGTCGAACGACGGGTATCAGGACAACCAGCCCAATCAGAATCAGAGAAACCACGAAGAGCAAGGGGGCTCGAAAACCTACGAAAGGAAAGACCAAAACCAAGAGTGCTCTTCAAATACCAAAGAATACGCTTAGCAGCAACCAAGTGAGGAGAACGAGGAGCGCTCATAAACTGAGCAATATGATGAACGGCAAAGGAGATGTCGGGTCTAGTGAAAGTGAGATATTGAAGGGAGCCCACAAGCTGCCTATACTCAGTTGCATCAGAAAGTAACTCACCAGCAAGAGAGGATAGCTGATGAGATGCACAAACTGGAGTATTACAAGGGTTACAATCAGTCATGGAATGCCGTTTGAGAAGATCAACAGTACATTTGGTTTGTGAGAGAAGGAGGCCAGAGGTGATAGAGGTGGCTTCAAGCCCCAAGAAATAAGAGAGTGGACCCATATCAGTAAGTTCAAACTCTTGACCAAGTGTACGAACAAATAAGGAGATGAGAGAGGGTTGATTCCCTATAAGAACAATATCATCAACATACAATAACAGAACCATAATGTCAGAAGAGCGGCGAAAGATAAATAAAGAAGGATCAGCCCGACTCTGAACAAACCCAAACTGGAGTAAGAAACCACTAAGTCGGTGAAACCAAGCACGAGGAGCCTGCTTAAGACCATAAATGGCTTTATGAAGCTAGCATACATGAGTAGGCCGAGCTGGATCATCAAACCCCGGAGGCTGAGACATAAAAACAGTAGTCTCCAAATAACCATGAAGAAATGCATTCTTCACATCCAGTTGACGAAGAGGCCAACCAAAGGAAACTGCCAGAGCAAGAACTGTCCGACCTGTTGTGGGCTTCACCACAGGACTAAAGGTCTCATCAAAATCAATACCAGGTTGTTGATGGACCCCCTTAGCAACAAGGCGAGCCTTGTACCTCTCAATAGACCCATCTGACTTCCGTTTAAGCTTAAAAACCCACTTACATCCAACCACATGTTGCTGAGAAGAAGGAACAAGAACCCATGTCTAATTCTTGAGAAGAGCATTAAATTCCGTGACCATGGCCTCACGCCATTTAGGGAAACGAACAGCCTGCGAGAAACAAGTGGGTTCTTCAGGAGTAAGAGAAGCATGAGCCAACAAAGCACGGGGAATAGGATACCGAATGGTGCCGTCAGTGCGAACTCGAGGGCGAAGAGTACCAGCCTGGTGGTGAGTAAGCATAGGATGATGCACAACAACAGGCGAACGAGAATCAGAAGTATACCCATCAACAGTGGGCTCGAGAGCTGTAGGGTGCAGAATGAGACTGCGGATCAGGAGGTGGACGTGAGCGGCGCTGGTACGTCCGAATAGGGGCCACACGTGGGGAAGATGATACCTTTGTAGCCGGTGGCAAGGTGTGATGTGGCAAAAGAGAAGGAGGGGGCACAACAGGTGAAACAGGGACTGCAACCCATTCACTAGGATGAGGCAAACATTTCTGTGCAGCAAAGGGAAATGAATGCTCATCAAAGCAAACATGGCGAGATATGTAGAGACGACCAGTAGTGTGATCAAGGCATTTGTACCCTTTATGCTGCAAGCTGTAACCTAGAAAAACACACTCAACAGTTCTTAGTAAAAGTTTGTTAGTCATATATACGCCTAAATGCGGATAACATCCACAACCAAAAACTCGCAACTCAGAATATGAAGGAATTTTTCCATAAAGACGAGAATAAGGGGAAGACCAGTGAAGAACAGGTGAAGGAAGACGATTGATGAGAAAAACAGCAGAGGAGACGACATCAACCCAATGACAAGTAAGAACCTGACTCGAGAGAAGAAGAGTTCGAGACATGTCAGCAATGTGACGGTGCTTGCGTTCAGCAAGGCCATTCTGTTGAGGAGTATAGGGGCAAGAAAAGTGATGATGAATTCCATAAGAGGAGTAGAGTGCTCGAAATGCCTCGTTATCATATTCTTTGCCACCATCACTCTGAAACTGTTTTAAGGAAGCAGAGAATTGAGTTGTAATGTATGCCAAAAAATTCTTGAAATGGGAAAGAACCTCAGACTTATGTTTCATGAAATATAGCCAAGTAAACCGAGTAAAATCATCAGTAAACAACACATAATATTTATAGCCTTTAACAGAAGAAATAGGAGATTTCCAAACATCAGAATGCACAAGAGAAAAAGGAGAATCGGTACGTACTTCATTAGAATTTTTGAACTGAAGTTGTGTGGATTTACCCAAAGCACAACCTTTACAAAAGGATTTTTGGAATTTAAATTGGGAACCTAACAAGTGATTTTTGCCTAAAAATGACATTATTTTACTAGAAGGATGACCTAAGCGACTGTGCCATATAGATGATTGTGGGAGCAAATTTCCTCCCACGGGAATATTCGCCTAAAGATTCCTTCGTCTTCTCCGCCTCTCTTTCTCCCTGCAAAACGAATAAC